TTTCATGCATGCCAAGGAACCGAACACAGTCAAGAGAAACCAGGCGGAGGAAGTCGAGACATATTCCAAGTAATGGCACAAAAAATGCTCGCAAATAAACTCACATGGCCTAGTATTACTGGTCAGGATACCATATTCATATACACAGTTATCCGTGACAGATGCAAAAAGTGAACTCCCGAAACGGTCGAGGCAAATACTTGTGATTCCTGCAATCTATGCATTAGCAACACCGAAACAACTCGTGCAAAGAAAAACCAGTTTCCAGATTTAGCGCCATTCAGTGCAAATCCAATTTAATCGCTCAGTCCTCGAATTCATCAAGTTTTTTCATTATCACGAAGCGAATGTGCGACAATTGAGAATCTAGAGAAGTTTGTCCTTTGGGCTCGAAAGGCTATAGCTGAAATCACTGCGATCCCCCTCTTCTCCTCCCTCTTCCACGCTGGTCAGAACACCGAAAAAAAGGCGCCGTGCAAAGGGGCAAACCATCTGTGACACAATTTTTTTTGTATGCCTGGAAAAAGCTGTACAGAAGCTCTCTTTCTAACTGATGAAAGAGACTACAAGTAGTAGCTCGGTCGAAAAATATGAGGTAGCAAAACTATTTAATCATTTTCCTATTGCCTTAACCTTTGATAGTCACTTTGAATAGTGTTCGATTACCTGCGTCTTTGCTGGTAGGAACTTCTAGTGTGGATAAAACATGGCCCTCATCCTTTGTTGAAATCCTCCTCGTATCCCATAACCGGAGCCCGCTGAAACTAGATTCAGTCAGCACCATGAATCTGGAGCAACTTCGCAATAAGCATGACAGGGCAACAAATGAAAAGCGTAACAGCACCAGCCGAGTAAAAGCTAATTTCTTATGGACCGATCACCACCACTGTAAGCATAGGGCGTAAAACTTCTCATTGTAAGTTGTAATTGACTCTTCTGAATCGTGGAGTTTTGTGACAAATACTATCGATGAAGGTTGAATACTCCGCTTGGCTGGTCAAAGCCTCAGCAACCATGGAAGAGAAGGTGTGAGAGCAGAGAAGACTGGAGAATTCGAGAGAACAAGTAGTTTAGCCTAAAGGACAGGCAGAGGCATTGTTATTAGGTGGAATTCTGTAGAGATACTGGATGTATAATTTATCCTTTCTATCTTACTTGCTATCGAAACAGAACGAATATGGTGCCCTTAAAGACAGTGTCCGATCAACAAATAAGCAGAAATCCTTTAGAGCACAAGATGGCGGAGCTTGTGGCCTCAGCGGATATCCTTTATCGCAGCTCAAAGCGCTTGATAAAAGCACGACAGCTCAGCAACGATAAGCTGACTCCGCCCATGAAGGCGGAGTCAACAAGTTTCACCTCATCATTTTTTCATTACCAAGATTCGTTAGTATGATAATGGCTAATCCCATCGAATCTGCCTTGGAGAATGAGCAGCAAGTCGCGATTAAATTGACAGATTCGCCCGAAGTTTGATTAACTCGTTTATTTTCAATCCCGCACATGAGGTCTTTTCAGGGCATTTTCAACGGGCTCTTTTGCTTTTTTCTTTTTCAGCGTTGTACTTACAACATGACCTAATTGTTCCGAGCTCTACAACCTGTGAAAGGCGACCGCGGGCCTGTGTTCAAGAGCCTAAGGTTTTCACTGACCTCTTCCCACAGGACGATGCCGAGATCAGGGTGTAATCGTTGGCGTACAGTAGGCTTGTGACACTCGGTGGTTCTGCCTTCTCGAAACGATTTGACAGTCGCGATATTGATCTCCTTTTCGATGGAGAACGAAAATCTGAAACGGAAACCTAGTTGTCAATAGCTACAAAAAACGAGAGTCTGCCCTTTTTCTCTCCTCTTCTCCATTTGCTTCTTCTCTCTCATTATTTAGCTTATCCTAGTTGTCAATAGCTACAAAAAACGAGAGTCGCCCTTTTTCTCTCCTCTTCTCTCCTCAGTTATTCTAGCTAGAGATATTGCTAAGGCAATTATGCAGAAACGTAATCTCTGAAGGATCGCAAGCAAATTCTTCGACTGGAAAAGTGTTTTAGAGGTAGAACGAGAATGTCAGTGTAGTCGCGCTTGCGGTCTCTGGTCCAATGCTAGCAAGCGCGATGGCATGGGGAAGGTACTGAGGAGGCCGTAAGATCAGAGAGGTAATAAGTCCTGGCCAAGCGACCACAAGGTGCCTTTAAGAAGAAATGGATGCAAGTAATCAGTCAGGACCCTACTGAAGTCAATACCACGGCAGAAGATTTCTGGAATAGAAGAAAGCGGTGGAGTTCAACTAATTAGAAGAGCGGATTCCGCGACGGTTTGGATGCCAGAAAGAAGAAATTGGATTTTAAGGTTCTGCTGCAAAGAAGCTAGGAGCTCACCCGAGTTTTAACGGGACCTCTATTTAAGTTCACAAAGAATTGCAAGAAAAGTTACCTTTGATGAAATGAGCATTCTTGTACACATTGACCGGTTTTTTCAAGAGCTGCCCTTGCTGCTGAAGAGAGCTTGTCCTCGCGTCCCACAAGCGAATTGCTCCGTCCCTACCTCCTGTCGCAAATACATCTGGAACAAATCACTATTGATGGCAACAAGGATGAGATTCGCAATGTTCTCTTTAACTCACGATTGCTCTGTGGAGCGAAGCAAGCACTTCGAACAGACATTTCGTGCCCAAAGAACAACATGGAATCCTGCCTTTGCAAATCCCATAATCTTTAAGGAAAGGAATTCAGAGTTATCTCGAGAATGCCAAGTTTTGGATTGAAAAAGTCGATCCAAGGCGGTACTGGAACTCGTACTGCACCCCTAACGAGAAAGAGCTCTATATACTCACCGCACGGTTGTATCTCCAGAGATTGAAAGCAATTGATTTGGATTATTCGGGACTCCCACCACGTCCATCACAGTAGCATCGTGTGCAGGGAAACCTTCAGGAAAAATTTGAAATTTTCTCCTGTTTAAGACAAACAAAAGATTTGATGGACGAATAGACTAACATTGAATAAGGATTGCATGAGAACCAGCGTCAGAACCTACAAGCGGTGCTACGTCGGCTATGCCTATGTTGCCGTCGTCATCTCCAAGAAAGAGCACCGTATCGGAGTGAGGAGAGAATCGGCACACAACCCAATTATACTGGAATCAAATAGATGACCGAGAATCCCGATCGTTTCAATGGCTTGTAAGCAAACAAATAAATAGCAAGTATACAAACAAAAGATGTAAACAAAAGATGTAAAAAATGCATATGATTTCATTTGCTGTCTAATACAGATACATTTTCTAAATTTCAACAGCTTTCAGAGTGAAGAACCGTCTCAGGTAGAAAAAGAGCCAAGTGCCTGTCAAGATCCAGTCGAGAAAGATTTTTGCGGAAAAAGAGGCGAGTGTGCGTGAGAAAACCACAGGCAGAATTTTGACTTCTGAACTTTCAAGTTGGAGCTGGTGAGGGGGGAGGGGTGACGTGGGAAGTACTGAATGACATATTTCTCTCATCTACCACGCGTACCCCGTGCACAAACCGTTCGAAGAATGATGAGAGAGAGCAACGAGGAGACGGAGAGGAAGGTGAGCCTATTGGTGAATTCTTCATGCCTCTCATTCCAACATCATGAAATGAACATCTTTCTGGAGAAAAAGAAGGGGTGAGAAGTTCAATGAGTCGCCCAGGGAGAGAATTTGCTATGAGTTGTTGAACCAGATAGTGCGGAAGGCATCAGTTCCGAGCAGAGAACACGATTCGTTGAAAGAAGAACATTCACACAAATTGAATCCTCCTGTTTCCACTCATTGTCAGTAGCCAACAATGAGTTCAAGCAAAGCAGCCCTTGTTTCAGGTATTTTTTAAATCCTCAAGAACAACGATGCCTATCATCATAGCTGAGCAGCACATTGTTTTCTCCTATTCCGAGGCCAATGGTGATGAATTAAATTTCGCCTATCCTCCCGATAGTGGAATAGCGCATAACGTGAAGAAACGTCGGGGTGGCTCCAGGAACGTAGAATGAGCCCATCCGCGGGTGCGTTTTCTAACGACAGTGGCCGATTCAAGCCCTTCACTCCTCGCCTAAATGGCCAGGGGAAGAGACACAAAAGCGCGGCCGAATGACCACCATTTCCAAGCTCTCGTCATATGTACGTAAGGTATGAAACAACCAAAGAAGGCACGAAAGCTCGAATGGGTGAAGATGCAGGGAACGAAACATTGAGCGTGTCAATCAAAGCAGAAGCAGAACAGGGTCTATGAGATCTCGTTCAGACATTACGGCACTAAAGAATAGGTGATTAGTTGAATAGGAGGCGCGCTAAGATTATGTGGGAATCACTTGAGTCTCCTATCCTCCTACCACGCCGAATTGAGCCTCAGGCTTAATGGAGGCGATGTATTGTTCGCGTGATATCCACAGGTATTCCTCTGATTCCCCAGTGTCGCAAAGTCTGAACGCGGCCTTATTATTTACTTCAGCCTAGCAGTACAGCTACGTGGTTTAATAAGCTACCCGTTAAGATGACGTGTCACTGACGTCACATAACGCGTTAATGACGTGTCTTGAGACGTCATCCACAGCGGCGAAACAAAGCCTTGCTCAATGGTAACGCGTAAGATGACATGTCATCTCTTGTCCCTCAGGCTGCGTCCATACTCTGCGACAACGTTTTGGGCGTACGCCAGTGTTTTGGCCGACGGCAAAGTATAGATGTCGAGCGTTGAGCGAGTAATCGCTATCTATCGGGTAATAAACCCGTGCTACAGCTGCACTTCTAACACGTCACCTTCAGTCAATGAAGTTTTGAAAGACGTGAAAATAATACAAGGAAACTCACGTCATTTTCATGTTCAGTTCCATTCACTGAAATACGGGCAAAACCGATTGAGCGATAAAATTCGAAGTGTCTTTGCCGTCGCTTGCGGTTTCTTATTGGATTTGCTGCCTGTACAAGGTCCATGCAAACCCTGCAACACTAGAAAGCTTTTTTTGAAACATCGTGGTAGCTATTCATTTTAAGAGGAACTTTCAGTCAGAAAACTGTTGCTTCCGTTTCTTATAAAACATTTTTTCTTAACTCGCAAGGATTACCGCACGGATATTTTCTCTTCTCGAAAATTAGCTTTATAAAAGGCAGTGATGCACTTAGCAAAATTGGAAAACCCTCTCTCCTTGGGATAGATCACGTATAACTATGAAAAACTAAATTTGATGGAATTGGTAAATGTAAAGTAAATTGAAAGTTGAGATTTCGCGCGTGTTGATTGGGGCGCGCCGAGTATTCGCCTTGGGGTGCCATTCCGTGCCATTCGGGTGGAACTGGTCATCGATGGATCCCGAAGGTTTGAATTTCTCTCTTCTTCTTATTTATCCGACAACTTAACGTAACTGTTTGAAAGGGTAACTGTTTGTATGCTTTTGATGCCAGATGTGGCTAAACCTCATGTTTTAGGGAATCCCGGACCTTATATGTGCAATACCGATGACGCCGGAGTCTCAAATCCGGAGACTAACCATTTTGAATGTTTGTATAAAATGAGAGGTACATTTTTTTATTAAAAGTTGTCGTCGGGCTGTATGATAATCCGAAGTTTAATAGGAACGTGGTACTCAAAAAGTTTATCTCAAAAAGCTTAAAAACACTGAAAAAAGCTTCTGAGGTCCTTCTATTTGGAACTCTCTCATATGAGATTCTACGAGGTGGGTGCTAACGTATTTGGGGGGGACCACGCGGCTCGCGGCGAGTGATGACTCATCGGCTCTTCACTAATAGGCATACTTGAAGCGCCATTCAGCGGCCAAATGGAAATAAAACAAACAAGATACACCGGGAATTTGCTAAGAAACCCCACAGAAGCTGAAAACAAGTGTTTGATTTGTCGTAGTCAACAATAACAGTAAACAACAAGCAGGCAGCAATCTTTTGCAGTAGAACCTTCCAGCCTACAATTTTTTCCTCACACTTTTCAGCGTTGACTATTTTAACAATTGAATATAGCTAAGATGGTGTTATATCCTCGTCCTAAATATAAAATTACTTCTATTTTGCCGAGGAGGAAGCAGAAGAGTCGATGAGTCATCACTCGCCGCGAGCCGCGTGGTCCCCCCCCAAATACGTTAGCACCGCAGCCTCATATGAGATTCTAGAGATGCAGGTGTAGCACAGGTGTCATCCTGACACCCCAATGACGAAGTAATCTGCATTGTTTCTTGTCGATGACGTCTAATGCACGTCATTAGTTTGTCATGTGACGTAATGGATCACTTTTAAGGTAATCCCTTGGACCACTTAGCTCAGCTACATCAACCCGGGACACTTAGGAAGCGTACATACTTTGCGTCCGCGTTTTGAGCGTACGGCAGAGTCTCTAGCGGCTAGGAAAGTGTAGATACCGATCTAGCGTTTTGAGCAAACGCCAGCGTTTTGAGAGGCTCCGCCAAAGAAACTACTCGTGAAACGCCTAGAACGCAGTCATGCGCTCAAAATGCCAGATCGATATTACTGCTTCCCTAATTGCTCAAAACGCTGCCGTACGCTCAAGGACCCTGACGCGTAAGTATAAACGCACTCCGAAGTTGTTTTGTATCCAGACTTATTTGATTAGGTCCCTAAACCGAATAAGAATACTTGTAGTCCTTCCAGAATAATCAACAACTTTCGGCATACACTACCTTTTGTAATTTATAGGTCTGTCCAATGAAGAACTGAGGAAACGACGTCGTATTTTCGAGGTGCAAATAAGAAAGAAAAAACAGGATGACTTCTTGAACAGCAAGAGAAGGCTGGATAGCGACGAAGTGGAGGTAAATTCTGGGAACTCGTTAGCCAGTAAACTCTCACACCTCTTAAAATGGGAGGGCTCAGACCACGGAGAACTGGATGAGGATTAGATGAGAAGATTGGTCCCAACGTGGGCGGAGTTGATTAATATCCTGCTGTGTATAATCCGTTAGATTTGTCTGTTGGCGTGTGTTTGAACAGAAATTCATACCTTCCTCGTAGTCAATTGAGGACTTTGAGTTGGTAAGTGATATAATGGGTAGGACGGGAACATTACGATGGATAACATGATGTAACAGCATTGATAAGGATAAGGGGCCTTAGAAGGAGAGCGTCATTGAACGCTTGCAGAGCAGTTTGAACGTGGTTTCTGAATGGTATCTAGGAGGTGCGACGGGAACAAAGAAGGAAGTGATAACAGTTGATAAGATCTGATAAGGAGCGCTAGAAAGGGAGGGTCACCAACTCATAGCGCCGGTCCCAGCAACGGTGCGACGTTGGTTCCAGGATATGGTATAGGATATGGAGCAGGAACGCTATTGATGGGTGGCAGAAAGTGTTGAGTGCTGATAAGATCTGATTGTAGTGTGGTTCAAAATCTCTATTCAAGCGTGTATCATTGCCCTCTTTGACTGATTAGCGGGCAGGTATGTTCCAGGTACGAGACTGCTTAAGCTGAGCGTCTGGTCCGCAATTTTACAGCAACTTATTTGCTTTGTTTCTTCGATGGATTTCGCTAGTTTAAGTTGTTTTTTAGTTTACGCTTGCTGATGACTGTTGTATTATTCCGAAATCAGTGCTCGACATGATAAAAAGCGGAAACTTCCAGAACGAATCCGTTGGCTTGAAGTTCCTCCGTTCAAAGATTTCTGAGAGCTCCGGTATTTATACATCTTGAGGCTTCGAAAGCGCTTATGATCTTTTCTTTACGTTCGTGAAATTTTCAGAGGACGTTAATTGCATGTCGAGTTTGGGTGACATATCGTTGATTTCTCAACTTACACGTCTGCTCATACGTGGAGATGAGGAGCTGGTGGACGATGTCTCATGGATACTTGTAAATATGTTCCGCCGCCACGAAAAACTGCCATTCATCGACGATGCCCGTGGGAAAGTCCTTCCCACTTTTTGCGACCTCATAAGACGGACCACATCTTCCTCCAACGGGTGAGATTTTTGTTCTACCCTTAGAATTAGACCAAGGCGTTTGGGCACTTGGAGCAGCTTGAATGAATTTCAAATAGAGGGGTCAATTAGAGTAGCCCGTTCTTTCAGTATTCCTTTGCATATGGAGAACTCCGTACTTTCGCAGCTTTTATGGTCGATTGCCACTCTAGCCGAAGTATCCGTTGCGAGCAGGAATTTCGTCATTGCTGGTGGTGTGGTGCAGGACATTCTCCATATAGCCTCCAAGTAAGTTACTTACATACAGTTGTGATCAAAGCTGAAGGTTTGCAACCGGAGTGGCTGAGCATAAGTTTGTTGCCAGGTCTGTAAGTGCTGGCATAGCTTGGGGGGGGGGGGAATACGCTTCGTGGCGACACAACGACACTTGTTGTGTGCGCTCTTCCTCTCGCTAAAATCTCATCCTTTCTCCAGGTTCAGGCCTCGAAAAGCGCGAGCGACCAGAGTCGCCGTGGCACAGTGTCAACGCACGGCCCTCTCCAACCACGTTAGCGCCTGTATTTAATTTTTAGGAACAAGAAACTTGTAATTCTCCGACATATAATGTTTCTTATTGCGGTTCTCTTCACAGACATCCAAGAGTTCACGCCTGATATCATCGAGGTGCGTGATATTTTCTCTTTTCTAATCATTGAACAGGCTATGAATTCAGCCTGAGGATACTGGGTCTCGTTAGACAACTCGTGTTAATTAAATTTTGATAGCGCTGTAGCTCGCCCATGATCAAGGTCGATTTCCGAATGGGTTTCTCGCGCTGCATGCTAATCATAGAAGTCGCTCAAGCCGCTTAACTGAATCACGTACCGTGAACACTACCAAATGGAGCGAACAGCAGTGTCCCGTGGAAGAAGGGATCACTATCTTGGCCAAAGGACATCAACATATGTCGCGCTGCTTCGCGCTCTCACATACAAAAGTTCTCGCAAATAATCAGTTAGGGATGATTATTCCCCTAAATGATTATTCAGGGGAATAATCATCCCTAATTGATTATTTGCGAGAACTTTTGTATGTTAGGGGAATAAATAATAATTAGGGATTGCGGACCGATCCGTGCAAGTTTGTATTTGGGATGCTGACTTCTTGAGATTAAATAGGGGGAATTCACATTGTTTGTTCGATGGGTAAGAGCGGCCTCGGTGGCATAGTGGATAGCGCACCTGCCCGGTTGTGGCGCACCGGAGTGCGCTGTCCGTACGCCACGGAAGCTCTTACCTTTTCAGCTCAATAGCTTTTGTGCCGTAGCCCAACAACACTTACAGTTCTAGTTTGATGAGCGATGTTAGCTTATGTTGCCGTGAGGCCGAGTGCTTTACATGATCGCAGCGAAAAATCTTAAGAGAACCTTAATGTCTCATTGGTTTTTCAGTTACTTCCACTTTTACCTCTTGTATGTCGTCAGCTATCTTCTGAAGATGGTACAATACAATCAGATGCCGTTCGAGCTTGCATGCTCATGTCGGAAAGCATAGATTTTTTCGGGGTTAGATGAATCGCTCACAGTGGTCATCCTTTATTTATGTTGACTTTTGCACTTTAGCCAATGGCAGATGCCGGTATCATGAGAAAACTAGCACAGATGACATCGTCTTGCTCATCGTATGTAATTCTTGGAGTACTTCGTTCAATCGCAAACATCATTCAAGAGACATCTGCTTTCACTCACGGTTCGCACCAGCATAGTTATTTCCTCGATTCCTTTATTATTTTTAGTTTTCTACCGATAGACTTGTTAGCGCGGAGCTGGAGACTCATTTTTTCTATAATATTGGGAAATCAGAATGTTAATGAATACTGGTGCTAAACTTCAGTTATGCGGCCAGTTGAAGTGATCGCTCCCCAGACTAGAAAGCGGCCCCTCTTTCCCAACTCAGACGTTCCCTACACTATTTTCGGCAGTTCGGTCATCAACCTGTGGTTCAGGAATCAGCGAAATACATGAAGACGTTCCCTTATGCTTTCGCTGTGAATTGATTGTCTGGCTTTGGAAGAGTAGTCTGTTAATAATGGGCATGCGCAGGTAGCCTCCTATAATTGTCAGTATGAATTCATCATTAACTAGGACAGCTTTAAGCCTTGTCATTCAACATGAGGTACTTGTTATGACCGCTAGTTAAAAGTCCATGACACATTTTCATAGCGTACCAGGGGAAGTCAACCCTTCATAACCTTCATCACGAGCCAGCTCTCTATGAGCTTCCGTCACAGCATTCTTTTTTAGATATGGTAAATGAGGGCCTTCTGACCAATATTCTTCCGCTTATGTCACGCAGTGCAACAATGCGAGAAGCTTGCTTTCTGGTGAGCAACATTGCCGCAGAAGGTGGAGACATGCTGCAAGCGGTCTTGGATGCTGGTGTGCTCAAAGAAATATCAAGTTTATTGGAAATGGCAGATTACGAGACACGTAAAGAGGTGAGAAAACGCTTCACTTGATTCATTTTTCTTTTATTCTCTTTCCCCACGAAGGAGAATCGCGGAAACTTACTTTTTTAAAGACCTTAGACACTGTTTACGCGGCACAGGGGAATGGGCGAAAGGATTCTACACCGATTGATAGGGAGAATCGGAATGTCACACAAGGGAGATTAACAAAATGCGAGCTTCGCCGAACACCAATTCCTTAGAAGGAGCTGGTAGGGTGGAGCCAACCACACCTGCACGTATCTTTCCCTTTCGACTGTTCCCTTGGTCAACCATTCTCCATCATTTCCAGCTCTTGCGGTCGTTGGATTGCGACTCCTTTTCGAGAACTCTCCAAGGTCTCGCACCGTGAACAATGCCAGACGCTAGTAGAGATAGTTCCTGGCGGATTGGAATCTGCCACTTGCATGAGAAGAAGATCTTTAATCTCAAGAAAGACTAAATCTCAAATACACTAAATCGCCTTTCCCCTTTATTTCAATTTTGTGATTTATTTATGCTTCTGCTAGTTTGACAGACATGAAAAGTAGACATCTTGCGAAAAAGGGCTTAATACTTACTCGCAAAGAATTATTCTATGTCGGATGTTCAGTGGAGTGTTGTTCCAAAGTTTCTGATAGATTTTAAGGCATTCTACATAATGTATCATGCGGCAACGTCCAATCGATCTTGTCATCTGGCGGCTCTCCTCGGAGCTGATTTACTAGCCCCACTGTGTGATTTTCTGACAGTTTTGGAGCACTCTCTTGTGGCTGACGTTATGGAAGCACTATCGTCACTGCTCGCTTATGGAGAAGAGCTCGCCATGGGATTAGCAGGTAGACATCCCTATTCCTCCCCATTTTTTTATTTCTAACAGAGACGTGCCCTGATGTAAAAGTTACTTGATTTCCTGAGTATGCCCTGTGAGTCAGAACTCTCATTTTCCTTTGATTCACTTCTCATGGGACTAAGAAACGTACTAGCTTACCGTACCGCTTTCTTATCCCTCACTGAATAGAGAGATAATTTGAAAAGGACAAAGAGACAGGTCGGCAAGCACACCAATTGTAAGTATAATTTTTTTTGGTTTCAGACTTCTTGAACCCTGTCGCTACTCGAATGGAGGAACTAGGAGCCAAAGATAAACTAGAATTTCTCTGTGATAGTCACTCGATGAACATACATGTAGCAGCCCACGAAATACTGGAAAGGTTAGTTTTTGCAACCTTGCCCTTCCACATACTAGTCTTGAAGTACATGGTAGAAGAATAGGTGTAATGAGGTTTGAATACATCTTCTAAGGTGCTAACTGAACTACTAGTTCAAAAGAAAATGAGAAATTTTGTCAGAAACGTCCTACACTGGTCCCTCTTCTTCGTTGCTTTTTATGAGCTCTGCACGAGCATATGGAAAGCTACAAACGAAGACATACTGGCAGTCGTACAAACCGTGAACGTGCGAAAGCCAAACATGGTGCCATGCAGCGATTGCGCGGCGTGAGCGTCACTCTCGAGTTCCCAGCTCGACGAGGCTTGATGGGCGACAAGTCTTAGCATCCTTACCACGCTCCTTCGAGTAGCAAATTATGGCAGTAAGTGGGTGCGTCCTAAACCTCCTAATCCTTGTACCTCAGGAGATACTTACCGTTGAACGTGGACTTGGACGCCTTTGAAGGCAAATCCCGCCATCTGAGATGGTAAATAATGGAGCTGAAACGCGGAAGACAAGGCTCTAAGTAACTAAATAATGAGGAAAGAAGCAGAAAACACCATCCGAAATGCCACAAAGAGGACCCCCGCTGATCCCAACTTGTACGTGCATCACTGAATAGAAGGCGTGTATGTACGAATTCTCACTTGTTGTTATCATAACGATATCAGCTCTTTTCCCTTATAACCTCACTCTCACCTCACTTGGAAAAGGAGTGTGCATGTAGAGGGGCTACTACCTAGTAGCTAGTGCCCTCGAGGGTTGGCATGGACTCAGGAGATGCTCATGGGTCTAACTCTTCAGCCTCCACCGGATTTCTTGCAAACTTTCTTTTCGAATGTAGTACAGCCTCTACAACCACGTACAGAATCATCTGACACATTTGAGAGGTAATAGCCCTAGTTTATGAAGGGGCGTGCCTTTACAGCTTGTGCTTTGAAAGTCTGGGTGACCTTGGAAGCTGCACACAAGCGTGTACCTTGAAAAAATCGCCCATGTAATCCTCGATCTGGGAAGTGCGCAAGTAACTTGTTTGTATTCAGTTTTACTAGTTTTGCCCATTCGAACCGCATCTAATCGTGTTACTTCTACTGCGTCACAGCCTAGTCTTCACGTTTTGCTTGTTCTAGGTACTTTTACTCATACGACGAGAACGAGATGACGACACAACTAGCAGTTTCCATGCCGCCTTATTCTGGAGTTTCGACACGGGATTCCATGGATGAGACTATTGATATGATTGTTAAAAGTGTATGTCTTTAAAAGCATTTCAGTATCCTTGACTGACCTTTTTTGATCTGACATCAAGTTGTACGAGGCTCTGAAAAGCAGTGTTTTTGCATAAAATCCATCAAAACTTCAAGCTAGCCAGTACTAAGAATTGTCTTTGCTTTTTGTATCTTTTGCTTTATCTAGTGTGCTTTTCTTGTCTCCGTCATTACAGTCTTGTTCGCTGCGGATGAAGGGGCGTGTCAATGCGGCTGCTTTAGCGTGGCGCCACCTGGTCCTATGTTTGTTGTTTAAGCGGCTGAGGGACAAAAAATGGGAAAACGACTGTTACATTCGATATGGTGCAGTCAGGACGTTGATACCCCCCCCCTCCCCATCATCCCCACTGACGAATACGCAGCGAACAGGACTGTCATTAAGACTGTTCCGCTTTCACAGAAGTTATTGACCTCGGTGTTCTCAACTTGCATACTTTGGCGGGT